ACACTTATGGTGAGTAGTAGGGCCGGACTACGCCCCCAAGGAACAGGATTGCACGAAATAAATGAGTAGAAATCCATAACTCCCGATCCCGTGGACTTGGAGAGCAATCAATAGGAGCGGGCAGGATGGGAACACTGGCAATAGAAGAGGCCTTAGAAAAGAAGAACCACACACCAATTACCTACTAGCGCCTTTGTTATTTACGATCTAGCTTTGACTTTATGATATGTTTCATCCGACAGGAAGGTTAAGTTGTGTGATTATAAAGAGGTGAATTTGGTTCACTTCTTGCTATTAGATTACGACCGCTACCCAGCAGAGTTTGCGATTAAGTAAAAGTTCACGGTTTCTCTTTGCTTTGATATCATTCTTAGCAAAATTTATCCGACCGGTAATAATGTTGGATTCACATTTAATGATGTATCTGTAGAGGGAAAGGAGGTACATCTTTGAAAGCATTTGATGGTCTATACTCTCGCTCAGCGAAACAACGAAATAACATATTTAAACTGTGGCAGAGGTTGGCTTACAGAAAAAATCGCTCCCAATTCGGAGCTAATACTGAGGGTGTAGAGCTTTCAAAGCAAAAGGTGAATTCGAAGTGTTATTTACGCATATCAAAATTCTCATGGGGAGAAGGAGCGCCCGGCGTAGCCGGGCGAATCCATAAGAAGGAGGGAAGCCTGGCGTTAGCCGGGCGGCCCGACTGGTATCAACTAGAAAGCACCAAATGCTACTACTGGAAATGTGATGAATGTTAGCGAAATGTGTTGGAACTGCAAATTCTACAAAATGTTCCCGCTCATTCCACATGAGATGATATTTATCCACAAAGAACAAGTCGACAATAGTTCCTCATCTTGGAGTATTCGAGATCGCTCAACAGAATGATCACATACACCCAAAAGCCACTTGAAGAAACACATAATACCTTTGAAAGGAACCTACCGAAATCGTCTCATTTCAGGCTCGTATGTGGCGTAAGTCCAGATCCGCGAAAGCGTGCGCTTTTGACGGTATCTCTAATGCCTGTTGTCAGGGTGTCGATCTAAACAGAAATTTCGACTTTCGGTTTGCAGGTAATCTATAATATCTTACAGACAAGTGTCGCCGTCTTCTGAAAAAAAGAATGCCTTCAAAATGTCCCATCAAAGCTAATTCATAATCCAAACGAAGGGCAGCAGCTAAACTCAGACAGATTATACGGTCACGGTGCCTTCAACGTGATTATTTTCCTTGAACAAAGCGACTTGCGCGTAGGCAACTTTAAAGTGCAAGCGAAAAGATTTTTCAGCAACTCTTGTGAAAATTATTGTTTTTAGAAATCGGGGCCTCTCGTTATCCTTGCTCGGAGATATATCATGGAGCTACTCCGTTCAGTGAGCCGGAATCCAAGTAGGTGTCAAAGTTCGAACGAAAACCGTCCACAGAAACCTTTGACCTCGCCTAATTCATGAAAGGCAGCACCACTGGGTTCTATTTCAATTACCAACTAGTCTTTTAGAGCATTCTCAAATTTTCTGATGTCTTTGCGGGGCCGGCTCGAGGGTTACATAACTCTCCACGCATACTCACAGCTATGGATCTATTCATATTCACATCGCAAGTTCACTTATGCGCCAGACATCGAGGAAACGGTAAAGAATGTCTTCAAATCAATCATGCACTAAAACTGAAGCATTACAGAAGAGAGTTGCACAAAAGGCTGTCGCCGAGCTCGGGAAAATGTATGGAACTCGTTACCGATACGGCACTGGTCCGGAAATCATCTGTAAAAAACCTTTTCAATCTTGTTCTCATTCAGTTCCATTGCAATTACTCGTGATTGCAGACGCATTTTCTGGTGGCTCTACAGACTGGGCAAAGGAGAAACTCAAAGTCAAGTATTCCTACACAATAGAATTACGACCAACCTTCGAAGGTATCATAGGTATCACGCTTCGAGAGTATTAAAACAAACAGATATGCTCAAAATCCCATGTTCACTTTCTTGGAGCACTTGCACATGAAGACAATAATATGTAAACTCCTGGTCGTGTACTCGGGCTTACGCTGCTTGTCTAATGTACGAGTTTCGTTTGGAGCATACAAGCGGATCTTGTCAAAACATTCGAGCCGCATAAGGGCAAGGTGGCATAATGAGTGAACCTGTCCAAGAATCTGTGTTTGACAAGTGCCCTTAATTCGATGGTCTTCAAGAACGGAGTGTTTTCGAAGACTTACCGAATTAGGGCTCCCGTTGAACGCAGATTTTTACCACACTCAGCAACTTCGAGAAAACATATAGGCCAGTACATTCCTCCCACTGTACAATGCTTCTACAGTGCTGTAAAGCATCTTTTTAAGCTTGGGATATCGCGCAAATTTAGAAGCTGAACTCCAGCGAGCTGCATTTGGCTGCCCTGCGATCTCATTTGAACATCTATCAAAGTTGTCTATCCCGAAGTCCGTTTCGACTGATTTCAAAAACAAAAATTTACTAATTCACGAAAAACTATTTTATGTGAGCGGGCGCAGACCAACAGCTCCCTCAAAACTTTGGAAAACGCATGATGGAAGGCTGAAGTTTTAGTAATGGTGAACAGTCCGGAAGGGATTTCCATCCTTCTCCTCGATCATAGCACTGCTCTCGGGAAGACGCAGTCACCCACGAGTGATGGATCGGTTGCTGATAAAGTGATAAAGGGCAAAGTCTTCGGCGTCATCGGTCCAGTTTTACGGCGCCCTTGCAGATTTCGATTTCCATTCAGAATTGTAGTGGCGTTGAGAATGTGTATTCCACCTATATTATGATTTCTAAGTGCGTACGGCTCCGAGATTCGATCCCCTGACCATGCGTGATATTGCACCATTTGTTACTCCACCGCATTCACCCCAGGACTGTGAATAGTTGCAATTCTGTAAAATGTTGAATACAACGATGAGGTTTTGAGAATTGGGGTCGAACTCAGATTGTTGATATACGGTAATCGGAAGGCGCGAAATCAGTGCTATACAATGCTTGTCACGTTAATTTTTAAGCGAGTTTCAATAATTTTTGTCGAGCCATCGAAAATGCATGCGCTCTTGCCTTGTCTTGATGCAAAACTGTTCCCATGCGGTTCACTATACTTGGATCGCATTTTGGATTGCTTCATCAGGCTCCATTGATCATTAGGTTTATATATGATTATTGCGGGTTTTTTCACGGCTTTTTCCCCCGATATAACTTGAATATTAAATTCGGGTTTTTTATGGATGATCTGCTTGATTTCCTCTATAAAAATATACTTAGAAAACCATCCGCATATTCGCGAAATTAGGCTCTACTACTTCGGGAAAGGTTGGAAGGTGGCAGAGTCATTCCGCAATCTCAGTAACTTTTTGGCGATCGAACAATCAGCCAAAGCCAACCAAGTAATAAATTGGATCTGCTCATAAATCTGCCATCTTCACCAGCAGAAACTTTCATGAATTATCTCATCAACCGTTCGCTGAAAAAATGGCTAGGTAATGGGACTTACGTCGATGGATGACTTTATGGCCGATGTCAAGGCGTGGATCGCATCCAAGAATCAAAAATACTTCGCTTTTGGAATCCGACTATCTAGCCAATGGGAAGCAGCGCTTGACGTAGATGGTGTATAAGTTTCGGAGTAATCATTTAAACATATTTTTGTTCGGTATTTTCATCGTTTCCTTACAGAAAATTTGTTGAAAAAAATCCGCGATAATTATGCATCAACCTAATATTAGAAAGGTCAATCATCCGGCTCCTTGAAAGCACTTTAAAGTACATACTATTCCACTGAATTGATAGCATGACATTCTTTCGTTGAATATAAGTTCCGGACTTTGTTCGAGCAAGTTCAACTGGTAATAATTTCTAGACGATCATATATTTCTTCCTCGATCAAAAATGAATAATCTCGGCGATTAATTAATGATTAATCAAAAATGATTTGAAGTGCAAATCACAGATACTAATTCGCCGCATTGAGCGAATCTCAATGAATTCATGGCTCCAAATAATTAGCCTTTTTGGGAGACCAGGTTTACGATACTCCCTTGACTGGTCCAATGGGAAGTTGACATCTTCAACAATTTATTACGTGGGTTACATCAAAATCGGTTTAGGTCATGCCCTCAAATGATAATCATCAACACCAAGTGGTCAACCAGCTTGAAATGATATATCATGTGACGTCAGCAGCTCTTTTGCCTGATAGAAGTGAAGAAGTACAATAGGGCGAAAATGCTTCATCCGGCATTCCACTAGCAAAGTGCAAGCCGAGGTAGTGCTAGGGGGGAGCAGAGAGGCAGACGGTCGGTCGGCGCGGTCGCGTCGCGCCCAAGGTCCTTCAAAGGGCTGAAAACAAAAAAAAACAAGATCAAAAACCATTTGCATAAGCCTCTTCGAAGGGCAAATGCAAATGGTTTTTGATCTTGTTTTTCTTTGNNTTCCTCTCCCTCCCCTACCCCGGGCGTTATGCATACGGGCCTTTGTTTTCAGCCCTTCGAAGCGGCTTGGGCGCGACGCGACCGCGTCGACCGATCGTCTACCTCGTTCCTCCCCCCTAGCATTACCTCGCCTGGCACGCCGGCGGGCTATGAAAGCAGCCAATAGAAGTGAGTTCGTCCACTTCTTTTCTACAGAAGTTATACTTGTAATTATACCAGATAGAACGTTAAGATTCTCTAAGAGCTATTGAAGTAAGCGTTTGGTCAAAAAATCCAATTACTTCCCGAGCAGCTCAATACTAATAAAGATGTGTGCGATTGAATAGTCTCACCAGCTCCATTGTACTAGCTCCATTGTTCCCGTAGCGCTCAACGTTGGTGGACTTGGGCAAGCCCTCGATACTAGGTAAATTGGCGTGCTTAGTCCCTTATTAGGATTCCAGCTCTGTCACTCGTTGGTTCCCTGTTCTGAGTTGCAAGCAATTACGTGTTCGTCTTCGTCAAGCGCACTCGATCGCATTCCAAGGAATTCAAAAAGCCCTCAAGCCTCTAGGAACAACCGACCTGTTCAATATGAAAGCACGTTTCAAGAAAGGCGTGTATGAATGTAACAGTTCTGCACAGTTCGGAGCAGAAGCACCAGTACATTACTACGGAAGCTACATCTTGGAAACGCATGGTTAGAGTGGAACAAAGAACAAAACCGCGGGCCAAAACCTACTAACATTTATGTCATATATTGGTCAACTTCATCTAAGGTGAAATATGTAGATTTTTAAGCATTAGTCTGTAATCGTCATTTAAGGTCAGCGAAACTAAACATAGGCTCTAGAATATTCGCCGAACGTTACTGATTTCTATGCATTTACAGTTACAGGCCAAGCATTTCTGAGGCATAAAAAAAACTGTGACACTGAAACCAATCGAAAGTACTAGTAAAGCGCTAACAGAAAATGACATAAATTAACAAATTATAATATTCTCAATTATGAAAATTCTCTCGCTGATGATGTTTCTCATGGTATGGTAATTCAAGGTATGAAAGTGTGGCAAGAAACCGGACACAGTCCTCCCAAGCAAACATGGCTACTTAGTAAGCTTCTTAGTAATTATTGTGTGGAATTAATAAAAGTAGCTGTAGGTCTGCATGCTCGTTTAAGCGATTGGAATGCTTTTGCCCAGAGCTGCGAATAGTTTGGATATGCTGTTTGACATACACGTGCGCTACAATTTCGTTTTTCTTGTAGACTATGAGCTATCAAACCACTAGGTTAGGAAGGGAGGTTTTGCGACAAAAAGTAAGCCCGTTTCTGGAATTTTCAAATGAATCAAGTAATCCACCACGGAGGTCAACAGCCGTCCCTCATCATTTGAGCAAATAACTAATCGACAGGTGCAGTTGTCCTGTAGGTTGGTCGTATGGCATCTTTCATAGTCCACGACCGGTCGCTAGCGACTGGNGAGGAGGCCGCGCTAGTTATGGGTGCCGCCGCGGACGGTCCCGCGCGATCAGTCGAGCGACCGGCGACCAGTCGCGCGATCGGTCGCCAGTCGCTGGACTATGAAAGATGCCTATCTCTCCCACCGCTTTGGCCAGATGCTGGGTTCATGAGGATGAGGCTGCGTTCAGAAATCAATGGTTCCCTTCTTGCCGCACAAACTATGAGACGGTGCTCTCGTGCTGCGTGCTAGTATCTCCTGCAATGAATCAGTTCAACCAGGCGTTGACCGCAGATCGGTGAACAGTGCTTTCCGCATATAGGTTGTTGACAATAGCAGCCTCTACACTGAAAATTGCAACCTACGCTCGTGCTTTTCCCTTGGCGTGCCTAGTAGAAGATGATGGTACGAATATGGTGATGTACAACAAGTGATGGTGAAGTTGCGAAAGCCCACATGCGTGCTCATGTTTACGCATATGTTGACTGCCCGGGAATGTTCTGGAAGTTTACCACAATTACTATCGTATACACTTTTGTCGCAGAATGTTCTTGCAGCCTCACAATAGGTGAAGTGCCTATTGCAAAAACTTAGAAATAGCCGAAAAGCACGACGTCAATCGAAACGCAAGTCCACACCAGTGCATTTCAAGCTTCGCTTACCCAATAACCCGAATCCTGCCTGATCTTTTCCAGCAAAGAAGCGCACAACAATTACAGGCAAATAAGTTAGTTGAGCTGTAGTTGAGTTTTCCGAGAACGTTCATTTGGAGTTACACAATTAAGTCGACAATTTACATAACCCGAGCACCTTCTTGCTTACTCCCATGATCCCCATCATGACCGCGGTTCCTATAAGTATTCACGGCAATGAGGAAGTATAATGTTCTTAACGCATAAAACTAACACCTTAACGCTTTCACATACAATATTCAAAGATTTTACTTTATCTTTTCGAATAACTATCTCTGATATACTATCAATGTTTAGAGTGGAACGGTTTTGTACTTGACAAGAACCAGCTCATACCAACGGCTAAAGAGACATGGGCTGGTGTGAGTGTCGTGCTGGACGAAATCATAGCCCATTCGGGGGACACACGAAGTAGGTCTTTCGTTATAAATCACCACTTTCTGGCCGATTTCAAGCTAGAAAATGTCATAGAAGTTTGTTGCCCTTGCTGTCGTGTCCACACTATTCATAAAAGAATTCTTGAGACTTCAAATTTTTTTGTCTTCCTGCGATGGGACTTTTTCGCCAGTCCAATATTTTTTTATGCAAATTCAATGTGATAATATTTTCTTATTTTGAAAACCAAAGATGAAGAAAACGAACTTTAGGGACATATTTGGCAAAGTTTTGGTTTTTTATTAGTTACCAGTCATGCCACTCACCACTTTCTTCTCGCATCCCAGAACATTTCTGAATAGAGATATAAATTTTTGATCCAAGCTCCGCCAAATATCGTGCCAACCCCGCCCATTTCTGAGATTTGAACACATTTGTTCTATCACATCTCACCACTTTTCCAGCATCCTAGGGCATGTCTGAACTGAGCTATAACTATTTTTGAGAAGTATCTTCAATTCCAATGCGCGCCCCGCCCATCATGGGCGAAGCCTCGCTAAGTATACGTATGCCCAGCACGCACAAGGCCCTGCTCATTCATTTTATTTTTCTGGCTTCCACGCCTTCAACGAACAGAATTATGGACTCATATGGGAAAAACCACCCACTGGGAGACGCTCCACTCACCAACGATGAATCTCCCTCATTTCATTTGTTGACCCATCCTGACCTTTGCTCATTTTTTCCTTTTTTTCTCGGCGTCTCGACTGTTAGAAGAAGAGTGTATGTCGTTAGGCGCGGAACCTCGCATCAAACTTACCATTGGGGCGTGTGGGCTGATAGTTGCCTCCTTGGCGCCGCCCATTCGACGCGGTTTGTGGGGTGGACAACCCTTCCATGTGATTCAATCTTCTGATTATGCTGATCGGCCATCGCACTGCCCATCCAGCTCGTATACTCCCCGTCGATGACGCCACTACTATTAGACGCCGAGTTGCGGACCTACTTGTATTTCGCCCATTTCTATCGCCTATTTGGCTATTTTAATCTTTTTCTTGCTTTTTGAGCATTTCTGATCACCTTTTTCCATTGGTACTGTTTTGTTGCAATGGTAGTATCATGGTCGTTTTGAAGCCTGATACCTCCTACTTCAGCGTTATTTGCAGTACATCTAAATAACGGATTGGTCGTGTGGTAACTGTTTTTTTTATGTTTTGAAAAACACTTGTATATCATAGTATTTATTTTTACCAGTCAGTTCGCCGGCTAACCCCGAGCGCCTCCTTCGACAAATCGGCTAAAAGAAGTAATCGGCCAACTCTCCACTCCTTTTTTGAAACAAATAATAGTTTCCTTTACACGAAATTTGACACAGGACTAACAGGGCAGTGCAAATGGTATACAGTAAAGTCGGTGCTTACGCCTTTGATTGGAAGTGTCAATCTTCGCCTTCTTTCTTGAAAAGAAATAGTCATCCGAAATTCAACTGTTAGACAACTAAAGATGATGCTGTGGAGATATTCTGAGTGATGTTGGCACCATTATCAGATTTCGTTATCAATCGATGCTTTTCTTTACGGAGATATCATTAGTTGAAGATTCCAGATTACTGGCGGTCGATCAAGTTTTGTGGCAAATGATAACGAGCAAACAGGATCCTTCATTGAATCACAAACCTTGCTGGGTAGCGGTCGCAATCTAATAGCAAGAACTGAACAAAATTCTCATCTGCTTATCGTATTGCCGCTAAACGGTCCCTATCACTGCACTTATCATTCACTTTTGTTTCCCTACTTTAACAACCTGTCTTGTGGAATGGTAGGTGGCCTCTCTTAGGTCCTTTATCTTCGCTTATCAGTTATAATCAGTTCCTATCACCGAGTACCTACGATCCTGTCATGTCCTACATCCCTTAACAAAATGCGGAGAGTCCACTGTTTATACGAAAAGTGTAATCTCACCAAAATTTAACGCTCTAGGTCCACGTAAACAGGAGTTAACAATTTGTGGCCCGAAATTTCTATCGTGCACGCCCCACCCCTGGAACGGAGTCCAGTCCTGCCACCTACCATAAGTGCTCCCATCCTGCGCCCCGTACTCCTAAGTTTGAACGCTTTAGGTCCACGGCGACTGGAGTTTTCGGTCAGACGCACCGGCACACACACAAACTAGCACATCGACAAACCAACAGACACATTTAGCGAACTATATATAGTAGGATTATAACTTTATCGACATGCACATTATAAAGTAATAGTTTTTCTAGATACATATTTTGACATAAGTCTATAATATCCCTTGAGTCTGTCTTGACCCGCTTGAGGTACTGCTCTCTGAACCTAAATACATTAGGATTATCCATATACTTTGGCACCAGTTAAACTGTATTTGTACCTCTTCCTGCTGTTTTCAATGTTTTGCCTCCGTTCGCAGTCCCTTTTCCGTGAATGTTTTTCTTCATTGGGATGCTGGAATCGGTATTGTTTTTGGCCACATTGTTTGTTGATGGTGTTGTTTACAAGGAACAACTAACCTCCTTATCCACTGCAATGAGCGTTTCGCCTTGAAGCTGGTATATTTTAGCTTCTCTATCAGTGTTCTCAGGTCGGGGTGTCCCTTTCGAATACCACATTGGGGCGACTGAACTTTTAAATTAATAAGTTATCTCACTTGCTGGGTTTGAAGCTTTTCAAGGAGTAATGAAATCGCTCCCCCATTCTTTGAAGAAGCGGTAACCTACTGCGTTTTCTTAGGGCATATGAGAGAGTAATGACTGCATCACACCTTTCCTACTTCCCTATGGCAGACATTTGTGATGAATGTAACTGTGTCACTTGTATAAAAGGCAATGAACATATGGTTCAGACAAAATTATGATAAAAATGAATAGAGAATAGCATAAATCATTGTATCTTCATGTATTCGTTACGTATAGAAGATACTTACATTACAGGCACAGCAGAATTAACAAAAACAGTTGGCTGTGAGCGAACTGAAAAGAAGAATGTGTCATGATCCTATATTGGTCATGAAACCATATTCTTTCAGCAAGCAAACAGCATATTAATAGAGGAACAATAAATCAGCTCAAATACATACAATCTTACCACTACGTACGTATATATACATATTATATTTCGTATAAAAAAATCAAGCTAGGCGAATACAATCTTACCACTTACCTGCGATGGCACTGCGCAGCACTGCGATGGAATAAAGATGGCATCCTCAATATAATTAAGCTAGTCGAAAACAGAAGGTGGTCCAATAACTATAGGAGATCGAAGTCAAAAAGCAGTACAATGAATATAGAAGCCGAATACAGTAGGTAGTCGAATATAAAGGGTAATTCAACAAGGATGGTGGCCGAATACAGGGGTTAGCCGAGTACAGATGGTAGTGCAATAGAGATAGTAGCCAAATAACGGACACAGCCGAATGCAGGTGGTAGTCCACTAAATACAGTAGGTTTGATAATAAAGTAGTTAGATAAGTCATAGGACGGCGAGGAAACAAGAACAGTGACACCTCACAGCAAACCTAATGATAACAACGTTATACTATAATCGAAAGGCTCAGAATAAATATAACCCAATATATGTTATGAAGAATAAAGAAATGAAAAGCATGCTTGAAGTTCCGAAACACTCACCGCAAACACTTAATCCGTTATACACTTTGAAGTAGGAAGTATCCGGCTCCAAAACGACCACGATACTACCACTTCATTGCAACTTAACAGTATTCATGTAAAAATGGGATTCAAAAATCTCAAAAAGCAAAAATAAAGTATATTATTATAGTAGTATATTAGCTGGGTGGGACGGCCAATAAGCATGGTCAGAAGACTGAATCACATGGACGAGTTGTCCAAATCACAAACCGCATCGAACGGGCCGCGCCAAGGAGGCAATTACAAGCCCATGTGCCCTAATGGCAAGTTTGATGCGAGGGGCCGCGCCAAACGACCGCCTCCCTTAGAAGACCGAGTGGGAAGGATTTGCCCAAGACACCGCCCACTCCTGTGCATGCCCCTCCTCCTGTGGGCGGAGCTCCGCTGAGCTCACGGGTGCTCTGTTGCTCTTGACCTATGCTCAACCTATTTCAAAACTGACCCGACCCCGACCCGACACATTCTTTGATTGCAACATTCAGTAGTGTGCTGATCCCATCTTTCTATAATATCTACCCTGATCGGGTAGCAAAAATGTCCTTGCCAAACGCTCTCGACTTTAGCAGGCGCGACATTGATATAATAGCGATATTGGACAATTCTAGCCAGTTCGAGCTGAGAGTCCAGCGATCTGGCACACCACCCCGAAGGAAACTACATGAACTAGAAACAGAAAAGTCCGTGAAGGTACCTTTCTGCCCGCCCTTCGTGTCGGACCCCGTCAGTTCAGACGTCAGAATGGCTTTACGAAGGTGTGGTCTCGATGATACGGCCTGGGAGGTTGAAACTTCTCTTACAAATCTGAGGCAGAGACTGATACAAAACCGTCTCTGAGACCGTTTCTGCATTACCCCCATTGAGTCACCTATCCCAACGGGCGAGAGGTTTACTGTATAGCGTCCGGTGTGATCCACTTGATCAATGCAAGCTCTACGGAGAAGACTACACAGCCGAAACCGGGGGACCTCTGATATGCAAGATTAAAGAACATCTGAATGGCATGAAACAAAACGAGGCCTAAAACGCCTTTGGGAGCCATAGGAAGCATCGCCACAGAAACGTAGAGTTTGAGGTATCGATCAGGATCTTGATGCGAGAGCTCAGCGCGATAAGCTTTCGAAGCTTTCTGGATACGCACGAAAATTCGCAAAATGAATCGGAAAGATGAACGTCTCGCCGTAACTAACGAGTTTGCCCCGTTCCTCGACCTGTGCGGTTTTCAATTGTCACCGGCGGCAAGCTAGCTATAAGGACACTTGGGACCCACCCACTGCGAAAGGACTAAATACGCCGTTTGAGATTGAGGGGTCAATGGTTTTCTTTATGACATCTAAGGTGAGTTGCCCGTTGTGTTTTACAATATCTTTCTGGATATCTTTAGGCCATACTTGAACTAAGCTGAGGTCTAACTAAAGTCGTTTGATCAGGATGAATACCAAATATTTTTTGGCTTCCAGGCTCTGACGAAGGCGAATAGCCGAAACGTTAGCCAAATCAACGTTGTATCATCTTGGCCAAGGCTTTAAAAAAGAATACCTACAACATCAAGATAACATACCAAGGTTAAGCGATAGTCGAACATGGTTGTTTCTAAAGGAATGCTGCAAGTGTCCTAGCCTACTGTCGAATGAAAGGGCTGTAGAAGTTATGTACGATTTGTTGACTGCATGAATGTTGAACACAGAAGCACAGGCAGGAGAGCGATCTTCACAAATCATCCAACGACCTGATTAGAGCTAGATGTCCGATGTCTTCCCTTAGCTTTCCTGCGATGACTGCCTTATTCTCCTTGCACGTCTGCAATCTGCAATGCTCGTCTCTTTAACAAGAATGCGTATCGAATAGACTCCAGAACTGTTTTGAGCATTTGAGACCATCACTTCCAGCTTCTAAACCAGAGACGAACGACTTGCGCAGAAAACATTGCAGTGATCGATTAGATGGATGTAAACGTTGGGTGGAAATGACGCCTAGCCTTTGCACGTAAGTACCTTACACTTATGGTTGAAACTTCATTCGTTTTGTCTTGCTCTTGTTCAAGCACATCTGTTTTTACAATACTAGCAACAATCATGTTTTTTAGCACCGCACCACAGTCAATGGTCCGAGACTGCGCCAGGACCTGCAATCTTTGCCCTCCAATGTCAATTTAGCATTTAACTAACAAAAGGGAGTTTCCTTGTGATTCAAACTGAGGTTGCACCGCCGTACATGTTTTCAAATACTGATCCCTAATTTGCCTTCAAAATATGCGTAGTGTTTCTTGAATCTAAATTATGGAAGCGTTTTTCCTCAAAATTCTACTCCGTTTGTCCGTCATATCGAGCGTTGGAGTGCTGAGCGGCTATGTGGCTGGTAGGGTTATACTTAATCA